ACTCAGTATTCACTTCGTGATATTGTCTCCTTCAGCCCAGCCAAGCTTGCTAACAGCAATGCCAAAGTGTTGTTCATTCTCTACCAGGTTCTAATAGCTATGTTGTGATAACGCTTCAGCTGAAAAGCTAAAGGTGCCTAAAAAAAATTAAATATTATTATTTTTTTATTGCACGATGCACATTAAGCTAAGCCACTGTAAAAAAATTGAACTTTTACCTTTTTCTAAGCCAGCTGTGTTAGCTTTACCCCTAAAATGTGATCTTATCTGTTAACAGTTGTTCTAGATAAGTTGTCACTGTACAGTCTTCATACATGCATCGAATGTGTTTGTGTTTCATGGAAGTATAAATAGAAAATTTCCTACCACAATGCTTTTATTATTTTCATAAATCACTGCAAAAACAAACAGATGTGAAAAAAGCTTCTCTGCACTTTTTCATTTTCATACTGTCACGTTATTTCACTCTTATATGGTAAATGGTCTGTATTTGTATAGCGCTTTACTTGGTCCACTCTTATATATGTGTAATTATCCCACATATCTGTGCCTCACATATGGAAGACTGTAGACATGGTTCTGTGTTTTCAGTTTTTAGCTTTTGATGCATTTGTGGAATATATTTTCGTTTTTGTTTATGTAAAAAATTTTATTTTTATATATTTTTTAAGCCAACCACTTTATTTATTGTGTTTGTAATAAAGACTGAGTAGGAGTATTTTTTGGTTTTTGTTTGAATGTGTAGATGTGAGTTTAGACAAGCATCTATGATTGCCATACATACTCCTTGGTGTGGAACAAAAATGTCCAGACTGAAAAGAGAAAAAGGGAAAATGTAAGCAGATAATAGAGTCACTGGTTGGCACAACTGTTAGAACAGACCCGGTGAACATATCTGAGCACAGGAGCCAGACTTGTAAAGTGTATAAAAAACTATATTTAAAACCAAGTAATAAATAAGAAATGAATAAAAAAGAAAAATCAAACAAAAACATTTCTTTAAGTGAAACAGTCACATTAAGGAATCATCTACACCAGGGGTCCCCAA